AGGGAGAACAGCGGCTCCATGCCGGCAACAAGCGGACAGCCGCCAGTGATAATCCATTGCCAACACCAGACTTCAACGTCTTCCACAAGTCATGCTCGAAGGCCGTAACTTCCTCTCGTGCCGCGTAGTCCAGTTTCTGCGGTCCTGCGACAGCTGCAAGGCCAATACAGACCACCTGCAGCCGCGGGACTGCGGCGGGAAGAAGCCGACAGTCGCCACTGACTCTTCCACCGAACCTCGGTGCTCACTCGCCAGCGCTGTTAGCCACCCTTTGGCAAAGCACAATGTTCCCTTGTCCTACTCAACGCCAAGATCAGACATGAAGCCTTGCCGGCGAAAATGACCTCCTTGACCGATCTACAGTACCATATGAAATTCGGGCTCAGATACACTCACTCACCCACTAGTTATCCCAAGGCCACCCTGGTAGAAACGGGCTGTGGGGCTAGCTGCTAACCCTTGTCCTGCAGAGCAGCCGTGCAACATCTTGCCCTGTTTGTGCCGTGGGAGAACTTCTTAGGCGAAGAACGAGGCGACATCAACGGGATATGGACGGCGGCCCGAGATGTGCTGAACCCGAGAATATCCTGCCTCATCGACAACATTCAACTACTTCGGCGATCTGCTGAAGACGCCAAGCGCGATGCCAAGCAGTGGGAAGCCACCGCCGGCGACCGAGATGGCGGGGACCCACAGGCGGAGGAGGCGGGCGTGGGCCGGGCGGATGACGAGGCCACAACGGCATATCAATCTGATGACGTGGGAAGTGCAACTCGTCTCATCGACGTCGTTCGGGGTGCGGCCAGCGCGAACCAGATCACTGCGGGGTCACGTGAACTCAGCGCAATGATGGAGCAGCTCTGCCGCTTCCAGCAGTCAGCACTATCCTCGACGGCCGAGCTCCAGTCCGCCACAGCTGGTGAACACGGTGAAAGGCGGATAACAATGCCCGAGCACGCGTGCTCCGGAGCCGCAGTACCGCCGCAGGACCAGGTCCGGGCCATCAAATCGCAGCAAACATGCGCCTCTAGAGAGAGGGTGAAGAGGATCCAGGGCATCCAAAGCATGGGCGAAGCCCACGGAACTGATCGCAGCGCAGCAGCGCGGAGTGTGCTCGCCGGCTTCGGAGAGGACGACATCCTCATGACGCATGCGGATGCCGATGAGACGGTAGGCGACACAAGCGTCGCCAGTGTGGACGTCCGCTTTGGTCCCTCAACCTCTTTCGTCGAGGCGGGAAAAAATCTGGCTGCGCGGCTGACGCTGAACAAGAAACAGGGCGTTGCTCTGTTGATAATTTGCCGCCACTTGGACTCGCTGCGGGAAAGGGGCCGAGGCGATGGCAGCCAGCTCTGTCAATTTGTCGGTGGTGAGGGCGGCACCGGCAAGTCCCGCGTGATCGAAGCACTTGTGGCACTTTTCGCGGCGAAGGGCATCTTGAGTCGTCTGCTGATCACGGCGACGTCGGGGACTGCCGCGGCGAGGGTCAACGGCATCACGATTCACTCCGCCTGCGGCTTCACCAAGGACCAGGGGCCGGGCACCAACACGGCGAAAGACCTCGACGGGGTCCGACTGCCAAAGCAGGCAGAGCGATTCATCCACGGTCAGTCCCGGATAGACTGGCAGGAGAAAGATGTGCTTGTCATCGACGAGGTGAGCATGCTCGGTGCGAGGACGCTCTATGCAGTAAATGAGCAGCTCTGCCGACTTCGCGGATCGCAGCAAGACTTTGGCGGCATCCCCATCGTTCTTTTTTGCGGAGACTTCCATCAATTCCGACCAGTGCAAGAAAGGTCAATCCTCCTGCCGAGCGCGGCCGTATCGTGGGACGAGGACAACACTTTCAGGGCCGAGCAACGGCACCAACACGACAAGGCGTACGGGCTGTGGAAGAGGTTCACGACGGTGGTCATGTTGGACGAGCAGATGCGCGCCGCAGGAGATCCGGATCTGCAGAGGCTGCTGAAGCGTATCCGGCGAGGTGTGCAGGACCACACGGACTTGGACCTCCTTAACTCGAGGTGCTACCGGGAAGGTCAGCGGATCCCGTGGGAAACCGGCATCACCGTGGTGACGCCGCTGAACAGGAACCGTTGGAACCTCAACATGGAGGCGAGCTTGTCGTTCCGGATCCAGCAACGGTCGATGATGCGCATCTTCATATCCGAGCACAAGTGGAAGGATAGTCTGCCGACGGAGGAGGGGGCCATCATGATGCTGAACCAGGGTGACGATAGCGCGATTCCGGTACCGGCCGTCTTCATGTTTGTCCCGGGGATGCCCGTCGTCGTGAACCACAATACCCATCAAGGACTGAAGCTTGTCAATGGTGCTGGGTACACGGCGGTAGAAGTCATCCTCGACAAGGCGCACCCGGGGCATCGGGTCTCGGCCGACATGACGATACACTTCGGACCGCCAGCGGCGATAATACTCGAGTCGGAGACGACAAAGGATTTTCACTTCGTAGGAATGCCTCCCGGGACGGTGCTGCTGACGCCGATGAGCATCAAGATCCATTGTCAGCGGAAGCGACCGTGGCAGCAGAACGACGTCACCAGGAAAAGGCTCCCGTGCGCCGCGGCTTTCGCGTCCACGGATTACAAGGTGCAGGGCGGAACGCTGAAGCGCGTGGCGTTGGAGTTGCGGGGCACAAGGACGACAACCGTCGGCGGAAAGGCCGTCCCCTCGCAATGTGACCCGTACAGCCTGTACGTGCAGTTGTCGCGATGCCCGACACTGGACGGCATCATGCTCGTGTCTAAGGTGCGGGAGAGAGACCTTGTGGGCAATCGGGTACCCGAGGAGATGAATGCGGCGCAGTCCAGGCTAGAGACGCTGAGCAGCAGGACTGTTGAGGAAGCGTCGTCCTGGCTGGGCGAGCGTGATGGAGCGCAAGAACAGATTGCGTCGTCATGCGTGACACTGTCGGGTTGGAGGACGATGAAGCCGGCGGAAGTAGTCGAGGACGCGAGGGCGGTGTGCGTGGCCGTTGGCGGGGAAAGGCTCTACCAATCACGACGGGTTTTCAACAAGGAATGAGATCCCTGTCCCGACCAATGGGACGCGAGGGATTCTGGGGGTGAACTCGCGGGTGGGGCATAGTCCTTTCGTTCCTCAAGGCAAACCTTCAACGGGCCTTGCATTGTTGGCTCGCTCTGCCCTCATCACGGCGATGCTCCGTCCGTATACGGCACATGTCCCGTTACGAGACGGACATCAGCCGTGATGCAGCACATCAACAAATATCATGGCCCAATCCATCATGGAACGTTGCCGTGCACATCAAGAATTACCTCGTCAATGTCC